TATCAGCCCTGAGCTAACATCTGCCAATCCTCCTCTTTTTGCTGAGGAAGACTGGCCCTGAGCTAACATCTATTGCCAATCCTCCTCCTTTTTTTTTTTTCCCCTTTTTCTCCCTAAAGCCCCAGGAGATAGTTGTATGTCATAGTTGCACATCCTTCTAGTTGCTGTATGTGGGACGCCGCCTCAGCATGGCCGGACAAGCAGTGCGTCGGTGTGCGCCCGGGATCTGAACCTGGGCTGCCAGTAGCGGAGCGCACGCGCTGAACCGCTAAACCATGGGGCTGGCCCCTGTTATTATTCTATTTTACAGATGAGAAAAACAAGGCCTGGAGTAGGAAAATGCCTTGCCAAGGTCACCAGGATAGCAGGCTGTAGAGACTGGTTTTGCACTCAGTGCCGTCCCTAGGACATCACGTTGCAAGGCAGGAGATGCAAGGCAGGCTGGCGATGGCTGTGCTCAGGGGTAACTGCTCATATTTTCAAAGGACAACCTGACTCCTTACAGTAGCTCTCAAACTTGGCTGCATGTTAGAATCACCTGGGGATCTCTGACAAGCTACTGCTGTCTGGCTCCCACCCCCAGATGCTCTGATTCAGTGGGTATGGGGTGTAACCTGGGCGGCAGGAGTTTTAAACACTCCCTAGGTGATTCTAAAGTGCAGCCACATCTGGGAAGGACTGTCTTCCAGCTTCCGCCTCTAGGGCACAGGGCTTGTCAGTCAAAGCTGTGTCAGGCCAACAGTATTCCTGCCATGTGGCCTAGAAAGGCACCGTGTTTAGGGGCTGTCTCCTACAACCTAAGCAAGAACAAATAAAACATGAAGGCAAGACTCTCTGGCCCAAAGGTAAAGGAATCAAAGAAAAAGCAAGAGAGAAAGGGAGCCAGGTGAGTGGGGAGAAGAGAGACAAGAAGCCCCCCACCCCCGTCCTATGGAGGAAAACAGGGATTCTCTAATTTTGTAGAGCAATAACCCTTGTCTCTGGGCGTTCCATGGGTGAACTGGCTCCCTAATCCTACCTATAACACGGAGCGTGATTAATGACAGTTTTCAAAAGAAATACCCAAGACATGCACTCAGTAAGTACCGCATTTTTAGGTAGTCTCCTTGGGAGGCCACGGTACTGCCATGCTCAATACGTCTCTGGAGCCCTTTTCGAAATCGACATTCAAGTCATGCAGAAAAAACCAACCAACCAACCCATCCCAGTCTTCAAACTCTATATTTATATATATATATTTTTCACCTTGAACACTATTACTTTAATCAGTGTTCCCTCCATGGACCAGATTTGACTGTAAATGACTTCAGGTAACTCCAAACATCAAACTCTCCCCTTAGGACAGCAAAGAATAGGATAGTAACTCAGAGAATTGTAAACACTTCGTTAGAAGGTGCAAACCACCCCACTGAGAGCTCCAAAAATGTCTGAGCAACGGAAGTCCTCTCAGGATGTGCCTGAGTTCTCCCGCTGTGCCTCCTCTGCTGGGGACCACACTCACTGAGGACTATGGGGTCCAGGATAATTTAAGTCACATCACTTTATAGACATGCTGTGCCAACAGAGAGATTTGCATTCCAGGTACTGACCTCAAATCCACAGCAGGAAGGACCAAGTGGCCTGGAGCAGAGCGGGCTCAGCAAGGCCGTGAGAACCTCAGGATGGCCCAGACAGAGACCACCCGCCCTGCTGCCCCGCCTCCTACATGAGTGTCCAGGGTGGCTCTCAAAAGACTTCCTCAAGCAATTAAGGACGGAGATGAGGAATATGACAGAGCACTAACAAAGGGAGGTGGCTACAGAACAAGAACCCGAACAATGAAGATAAAACAGCCACGTGGGTCAGGGCGAGGGGCCCAACAAAGGAAGAGCAGACGCTGAGCTGGTACAAAGACAGCAGCGCCTGGCCTTCCATTAGAGGACTCACGGCACACGCTTCCACGGACGTCCTGCTTGCCCAAAGCAAACCCAGCAAGCACAAGCCTCCAATTCCCAACTCCCAAACAATTGTCTCCTTGTATCCATTTCGCCAGAGAATGTTATTTAGGGCTGAAATTAATACAAAAGCAGGGAATGTCTTTAGGGAGTGAGGAGTATTAAAATAGGCCCATATTAACAGTGCTCCTGGGTGGAGAGCTGGCTGCAGGCAGGAACAGAGTCTCATCCCATGTTGTACCCTGTCTACACAGCATCTGATATGTACAGATGCTTAAAGAGCTGTTTACTGAGCTGAGGCGGTCTGGCTCGCTGCTGTCTTGCGGGTGCAGGTTCATAAAGACGATGTGGAACATGGGTGTTTTTCCACTGTGCCCATTTTCATCTGCCTAAGTTTGCTCACAGGCTCACTGCTTCCCCGGGCAGCACCGCCTTTGCCAGCCAGCCCCTGGCTGCTAAATGCACACATTCCAGTTCACAGAACCAAACCAGCCACGCTTACCCCAAACCCCCTTCTTGATGCCTTCTCCACGGCAAAGGGAGCCATACCAAAAATTACACTTTAAGTGCTCACGTAAAATCCAAGACTCCTCTCCATGAGATAAACTCCTAACTCCATGTAAAGAAACAGGGATTCTTAGACCCGGTGACTGTCCATGTGCCTCAGGGACACTCTGGACCACACAGAGGAGAAAGAGCCACAAAGCTCCACCACACCTAACCACAGGAACTGATCTCTCAAGAATTATACTGTGCTGGTCTGCTGACTGCCGCCACCACTTCCCTGGCTCTTCACTTGTGTCATTCTACTTTCTCAATAACTGAGGCCAAGCCGAGTAAGACAATAAGCTGGGAGAGTAGTGGCTTCACTCTCAACTGTGAGCATACTGCTCATGACAGACCAGCGCTGTCCAACAGAACTTCCTGTAGTGATGGAAAAGTTCTTTCTCTGAGCTGTCCAATATGGGAGCCACTAGCCACAGGTGGCGGTTGAGCACTAGAAGTGTGCCGAGTTGACTAAGGAACTGGATTTTTAATTTTAGTTAAATTTAAATAGCCGCATGTGGTGAGTGGCTACTGTGTTGGACTAAGTACGCCTTAGTGCTTACTCCTGAGGATTCTGGCTACCATTTTGTTTTTTTTTTTTGTGAGGAAGATCAGCCCTGAGCTAACATCTATGCCAATCCTTCTCTTTTTGCTGAGGAAGACCGGCTCTGGGTTAACATCTGCGCCCATCTTCCTCCACTTTATGTGGGATGCCGCCACAGCATGGCCTGACAAGCGGTGTGTCGGTGCACGCCCGGGATCTGAACCCAGGCCGCCAGCAGTAGAGCGCACGCACTTAACTGCTATGCCATGGGGTCGGCCCTTCGGCTACCATTAATGTATAACTTCCTGTGGCAAGACAGTCATAGATGATATACTTTGTGACTTAGGTTTTGTCTTCCAGCTTTCTCCCCATTTTCTGCCCACTGCCTCAGGGGATGTTTACATCCCAGACCCCAGCTCACTGAAGAGACTATGTCAGGGGTCCCAGACAGGCTGGGGAGACGCGAGACCCTGAAGATGGAGCCAGCACAGCAGGATTACCTTCAGTGGGGAGGGAAACGACGACTGCGGGGTCCATGATCAAAGAGGACCCACGCCCTGCACCGCACCAGCACCCCAGGAACAGGGCTTCCAGCTGTGAGAAAAACACACATCCTACATGAGCACAGAGCAGCTTTTGCCCTGAAGGGCCACGGGGACAGGGGCGATGGGCATTTCGGTGGTGCCAGAGCACCAAGGAAGAATGAACAGCATGTGCTCCCCAAAGCCGAGGCATTCCAGGAGATTCCAGGTCCTCTGCACAATCCTGGGGGAAGTGGGGAGGGATGCCCACTGGTAATCAGTTTGAATTGCCCTCCGGCCTTGTAGAAGGGAGGCTAATAGTTCATATTAAGTCAATTTTTAATAAAAGAAGAAATGAGGTATTTCCTGCACATTGAAGCTGGTGCACTCATTCCTGCTCCATCGCACTTCAAAACTTCACGGACATGGTAATAAACCTCACACTGCTCTGGAAAATTGACAGCTTGTGGTGGCGGCTGAGGGCACACTTTCCCATTATTTCTGCCTCAGATTCAGGGAGAGGTTGTCACTAACTTCACGGCTGCCATTTGT